TTTCTGGCTCTCACAGACCTGTAACTTCTTCTTTAAGAGGCTCCTCTGTCCTCCACTCGTTACCTGTATTAATGGCATCTGTTTGAACTCGTTATCAGTATAAAAGACATCTGTCCACAACCTCAAACAGTCACACTCCAAACTCCACCATGGCCAAGACTAAAGAGCTGTCAAAGGACACCAGAAACAAAATTGTAGACCTGCACCAGGCTGGGAAGACTGACTCTGCAATAGGTTAGCAGCTTGGTGTGAAGAAATCAACTGTGGGAGCACTTATTAGAAAATGGAAGACATACAAGACTATTTATAATCTCCCTCGATCTGGGGCTCCATGCAAGATCTCACCCCGTGGGGTCAAAATGATCACAAGAACTGTGAGCAAAAATCCCAGAACCACACGGGGGGACCTAGTGAATGACCTGCAGAGAGCTGGGACCAAAGTAACAAAGGCTACCATCAGTAACACACTGCGCTGCCAGGGACTCAAATCCTGCAGTGCCAGATGTGTCCCCCTGCTTAAGCCAGTACATGTCCAGGCCCGTTTGAAGTTTGCTAGAGAGCATTTGGATGATCCAGAAGAGGATTGTGAGAATGTCATATGGTCAGATGAAACCAAAATAGAACTTTTTGGTAAAAACTCAACTTGTCGTGTTTGGAGGAGAAAGAATGCTGAGTTGCATCCAAAGAACACCATACTTACTGTGAAGCATGGGGGTGGAAACTTCATGCTTTGGGGCTGTTTTTCTGCAAAGGGACCAGGACGACTGATCCGTGTAAACGAACGAATGAATGGGGCCATGTATCGTGAGATTTTGAGTGAAAACCTCCTTCCATCAGCAAGGGCATTGAAGATGAAACGTGGCTGGGTCTTTCAGCATGACAATGATCCCAAACACACCGCCCGGGCAACGAAGTAGTGGCTTCGTAAGAAGCATTTCAAGGTCCTGGAGTGGCCTATCCAGTCTCCAGATCTCAACCCCATATAAAGTCTTTGGAGGGAGTTGAAAATCCGTGTTGCCCGCGACAGCCCCAAAACATTACTGCTCTAGAGGAGATCTGCATGGAGGAATGGGCCAAAATACCAGCAACAGTGTGTGAAAACCTTGTGAAGACTTACAGAAAACGTTTGACCTCTGTCATTGCCAACAAAGGGTATACAACAAAGTATTGAGATGAAATTTTGTTATTGACCAAATACTTATTTTCCACCATAATTTGCAAATAAATTCTTTAAAAATCCTACAATGTGATTTTCTGGATTTTATTTCTCATTTTGTCTCTCATAGTTGAGGTATACCTATGATGAAAATTACAGGCCTCTCTCATCTTTTTAAGTGGGAGAACTTGCACAATTGGTGGCTGACTAAATACTTTTTTCCCCACTGTATATATAGTAATAATATTTCACAATATTACTGTTTTTATTGTATTTTTATCAACTAAATGCAGCTTTCATGAGCATAAGAGTATTCTTTAAAAAACATAAAAAATCTTACTGATCCCAATCTTTAAAAAAAATACATATATTAAGATCTAAATTGAATAATTGAATATTTAATCATTTTAGTATGTACAACACCATATTTGCAAATTTAGTTTTGCATATTATGAAATTTCTGTAAGAATCACACTGAATTGCTGTTGCTATTAAGTCAAAGTCACTAATAAGTCACTGCTTTAATTGTGCTTTTCACGTAATTGTAATCGTAAATAACAGAGACTTTCAAGCTATTGAATACAGGCCTGTGTTAAAGGTTTGACAATTTTCAAAACGCTCTGAGGATGGTAATGTTCTCCTTTCTGACCTCCAGTTGTCAGAAGCCCAGAGAGTGGCTTATGGAGAAAGAAAGACTCCTAGTGCGCTGTTGTTTTTGATCTTCTCGTTGTGGTACAGAGACTCAAAACCTTGTCAAAAGCCAGGGTTCACTCACTTAGGCTGTTCCTATTGCACTTTCTCTTTCCTATTGTTGCTTTTCTCAGCACTCCTCGCTTTCTACACCAAAGAGCTCAAATCACCCATCCTCCCTAATCCAAGTTTCCAAAGCGATGGGTGATTTATCATACCGGCCTATGTGTTATTATTATGCATGATTAACCTAATGGAATCTAAGTGATGGGCACCGTATGCAGCCGCAGTGTTGTCCAGGCTGGGCAGGTTAATTTATCACTGCACTTTGAGCCAAGGTGGCCACTTGCTCTTAATTCAAACCACTGGCCGAGATTGTAAACCCGTAATGACAACACCACGGCCGGCTGCGTTTCAACTAAACACTAAAGCAAGCATTTCAAACCTTCAGCACTTGCTGTTTTTGGCCAGCATCACACTTTGCCGAGCTACTGGGAAATTAATATTCAACCTAAGCACATACAAACAGGAGCCTCGGCTTGTTAATAAGCCTCTGAAGTGCCATATGGTCAGGGTGGGGGAAGCTAACTTACCTATCCAATGCTTGGATGGCCAGCTCTTAAAAACAATCATGCTGGGAGTTTTAATCGTGCTTTTTAAGTCAAACAGCATGAAGTTGCAAAAGTTTGGTTATTTCAGGCTGTTTGGGGGTGAATCGCTTATTCAGGAAAATGCAGAAGAACTCCTTCTAGGTAAATGTTATTTGTTCTTTGAACTGAAGAAAGTGGTTTTGCACTTGAAACGCCTTTTTTAACTTCCTGCACGATGGCTCATATTTTGTTTTAATCCTCAGAAGAGTGAATTCAAGCATTTGCACAGGTCTTTTAAACCTTCCTCCGACAGGTTTTAAATGACAGTCACTGTTGTGTACCAAAAATTTATATAACGGTATTTTTCTAAATTATACCGGTTTCACGGTACATGACGGTGTTTTTTTTTCATGCATGACCGGGTATTAACCATATTTTCTACTGATTGAGAGAGGAAATACTGCAGTATATTGACTTAGAATGCCCTATTTTACTGTCATGATGAGTGAGTATTGTCAAAAAATACCACACTAAATAGTGACTAAACATGAACCCTTTTAATACATGTTAACCAGGAGTCACTCTCATTTATCAAATATAAAATCAACATGCATCTACACTAAAGAGCGGCTATGCGGTTGTTTTGGCTATATTACTTTTTTGTCT